CACCGGTGTCGCATCTCACCGGGACTCCTCCCCCACGGCGGCCAGCTCTGTACACGCTGCCCGATACACGACTTTGGGGTGATGCGATCGCCATGCATTGGGTACTCCCTGGGTGCTCCGACCCCGACCTCAGAATACGTCCGAGCGGCCCGGAGCATCCCCGCCACCCTGGGTACCATGGAGGGTTCCAAACCTCCACGGTGTGCAGACCCGAGTGTGGCCCGTCCCTTCGGGTTGCCGGAGCATCGGCGTGCAATGCCCTAGGGGACGGAAACCTCCCACAGGGTGGGGTCCTGTCCCTCCGACTACTGGAGCACCGGCATGCAATGTCGGAGGGACGGTGTCCCCACCCTTACTACCTTAAAAATGGTCGAGGGTGTCCGGCTGGACACCCCGCCATAACATCTCTAGGTGCTCTTAGTCCAGTCCCTCCGTGCAGACCACTCCGGCATGGTAGAACCTGCCAGGGGCCTAAGTCCCCGCCGGCACAGCCCTGCACTTTATCGTGACCTTCAAGCCTCTCCACCACAACAAGGTGACACCCGCGGGGAGGAATCGAAGCATTCCTGCTCTAAAAACTTGAAACCTACATCTTCGCAATTCGGAACCATAGGTACCCTACCAATCAAACAACAAAGCTTACTTCACTGGTAGTCATAAAATCTTATCTCAACCTTTGATTTACGGCATCCTGACTCTTCCTGGCCACTTATATACATCTCTCTACCCTACAAGAATCCATCACCCTCACACTTGTCATGCCTAATCCATTCGGCCAATCAAAACCAATCCGCCCAAAACTATGAGACATCCACGCTCCACCTCTTAGCCTTTCTATATTCATATCTTCAAAAACTAACCATCTCCTCCCACGAGATATTTTAACTTCATTCTTAATTTCTAATGGCTAAGACTTTTTCCCACTAAGGTCAATCAGGACTAATAATAAAAAATTACTAACCAAATCTCTGACATTGTTACGTCCTGCAGATTTAACTAACAAAATTGTCTTTTCCTCTCGCGGATTTATATTCTCCTAATATAACTATAATAGGAATATATACATATGTAAATATAAATTAATAAACAGACCCATCTGGCGAACAGCCATCGCGCCAAATGAAAGGCGAATCGGGAAAAATTTCATAACAAGAAACAGTGCCCTGTTGTAAAAATCTACACGTCTTCGTTTAAAGTTTATATCTGAGTAGTGTTCGCCAAGTGTATCCGTCGTCCTAGCTATAAAAATTTGAAACTCCGTGCTAACAAACCTTCAGTAAAACAAAGCAACTCAGAGCATTCCTGCTCTAAAACTTGAAACTTACATCTTCCCAATCCAAAACCATATGTGCCCTATCAGTTAACCAACAAAGTTTACTTCACTGATAGTCGTAAAATCTGATCTCAGCCTTTGATTTACGGCACCTTGACTTTTCCAGCTGGTCACTTGTATATATTTCTCTATCTCACAAAAACCCACCACCATCACACTTGTCGCGCCTAATCATAACCTATCCACCCAAAACTATGAGACATCCACACTCCACCCCTTATCCCATCTATATTCACGTCTTCTAGAACTAACTGTCTCCTCCCACGATGTCTTTTAACTTCGCTAATGGCTAAGACTTTTTCCCACTACTGTCAACCAGGACCAATAGTAAAAATTAGTAACAAAATCTTTAACTTCATTGGGTTCTCCTTAGGGCTTCACCCCTCCCTGAAAGGGCCATCTCTCTATCCACCCTGATAGCTTCTGCCTCCGATCATTGATATAAAAACCGCGGTAATCCGCCTCCGCGAACAGAAGAACACGGAAACGAAAAAGCTCAGACTCGCACTCTCACGCAGATATTCAGAACTCGGATATTGAGCATTAGAACTCAGATTCAAATCTTCAGAATTCCAGTTCATTCAAATATTTAGTATTCAAATATTCAAGATTCGGATTTTGGAAAAAGTGCGGGCTTCTTCTTTATATAAGTGAACGACTATTTGGTGCCTCAATCGGAATACGAATATTGGAAAAGAGAACACCTACGCAGATCTGCGCCATTCTCACTTCTGCTTGTGTCAACTCATCCTGAATCAGTAGTAAATTTCATTTTCTTTACTTTATCTTTCCTACTTCTATTTTATTTATTCCACCCTTGTTTTGAAATCCGGTTTTAGTGGGCCATTACTGTCATTCAGTGGTATCCATCCAACAAGTCCTTTGTTCCTTTGAGACGGTGTACGGGACTAGAGATCTATGTGAATTCGAACATCATATGCAATATCTCCGTTCCATTATAAATATTTCACTTGAAACAGACTTTCACCCAGACCCGACACTCCTACCCCCTTTTCTACTCCGAGGTCTACCTATTAGTCCTCCCTCGTCTCCCTCACGCGCATCCACTCCTTCTACCTCTTCAATCTCATATTCTCCCGTCTCTTTTTCTGAACTGTCCACTCCTTTAAATTCGCCATACCACTCTCGTTCCCCTTCACCTGATTAACTTCCTACTTCATATTCGTTCTCTTTCCCATCCTTTTCTTCTTCCATTTCATACACTCACACACACACACATACACTCATTCGTCTAAATATATTTATCTTAATAAATCTGTAAAAATTCAAACCGTGCCGTTATATACTATAATTAACAAATTTGCTAATTCAAACCGTACCGCTATATCATTTTGTCATCTTTATTTTAATAAATCTGTTAATAGTTATTATCACCAATTCATTTCAAAATCACACCCACCCTTCCAACAGTCAACTCATGGTCCTATCCCCGATAAAGGGACTCGCGTCCTTGACCGAAAAACGGATCGCTCGTCGTACGTCAGTGTCTGAGTAAAGGGACCCGTCGGGTCCCTGACCCGTTCACTGACACGCGTGTATGAACGAGGTTCGCTTTTCCTGCGAACGAAAAGTTTGCGCTCCTCCTCTAGGATGTAACATCATTGGACTCTTCTTAGGGTTTTACCCCTTTCCCAAGAGCCATCTCTCTACCCATCATGGTGGGTCCTGCCTCCGATCATTAGTATAAAAACCGTGACAATTCGCCTCCGCATTCATTCAGATATTCCTTTTTGTTGACAGTTGGCATTCAGATATTCAGACTTTGACAAGTTAGCATTCAGTCACTCAGATTTTGATAATTTTCATCATTCCCAATAACAATCAACGAGTACATTGTTGTGTGTAACGTGCTAGTGAGTATTGGACCGATCCTGAGAGATCCTGAGAAGCACACCCACACAAAGTAACAGCCCCTGTTCTTTTTTCCTATACAAGTCATCTTGAACCAGCAGTATGTTTTATTTATTCTCTACCTTTATATTTTCATTTTATTAATTTCACCCGTTATTATTGAATCCGTTTTTAGTGGGTCATTATTATCATACCACTGTCACCATTCAAAGAGTTCTCGACTCGTTCAAGTCGATTTTTGAAACAAGAGATCCCGTAGCAATAGAATCTACACTATAGAAACGCTCAATACCTCCGAGCAATTATCAATATTTCATTAGAAATCAACTATAACCCAGATCCGTCACTCCTCTTTATATCTCCTTACATTCTCCTTCAACGTTTATCCCCTGGTACTCCTTTCTCTTCTCCTACACATTCGTTCACCCCTTCGACTCCCTCGATATCTTATTCTCCTGTCTCTTTTTCTGAACTGTCCACTCCCCTTAACTCACCAGGCCACTCTCGCCCCCCCTTTCCCGACTAATTTTCTATATTCGTTTTCCTTCCCTTTCCGTTCTTCTTCATTCAGAACAACACACATACACGCATACACATGTTTCGCGTAACTGTAATCCGTCACTTCTAAAATCGCGCCGTTGTATAATTTTGTTTGTTATCCTAATTTTAATAAATTTGTTAATAGTCTATTTTTCATTAATTGATTTCAAAATCACCTCAGATAACCCAGTTTCCAACAATTGATGTTGATTGATCATGGTCCTATCCCCGGTAAAGGGATTTGCGTCCCTAACCGAAAAACGGACCGCTCGTTGTACTTCAGCGAACGAGTAAAGGAACCCATCGGATTCTTGACCCGCTCCCTGGCACGTACGAACGAGATTCGCCTTTCCTGCGAACAGATAAGTTGCGCTCCTCCTCTAGGACGTAACAGTATAATTATACAAGGTGCGAGTCAATATTCTCTTTCGGTTGAAGTTGATATTCTGTAATTTTGAATTTTGCTTACTTGATTTCTATTTTTATTGCGTGAAGTTCTTTTAAATGTTTGATTTGCAAACCATTATACTCCTTTAAGTGTTCTTCTTTTATAGCAGCCATTTTTTCTTCATGCTTGGATGTAATATTAGCTAAATGATGCTCTTGTTTCATAATTTCTTTTATACTGTTATGTCAAGAGCAAACTCGCTCTAGGTACCGACCTCGGAAAGAACTGAACTTCTAGTCTCGTGAGTCAAACGCTAGGCGGCGTATCTATAGGGGTATGCGCGCGCACGAACGTGAGAACAATAGAGAGACGAATAAAAAGATGATTGTTGTTGTTGTCCGTGCTCGGCCAAGTCGACACGTGTCTTTGTGTTTCGCATCGCAATCCATCTATCTAAAGGAATTATCTTGATTGACGAACATTGTTACGTAGTGGTGATCGTTATTCGGCAAAGTTTACTCGTTTCCTTTATATCATTACGATTCCTAATCAGGAGGTGTTTTCGATGTCCCGATTAAAAGAGGGAAAGCATACTACAATAAAATCACGGCCAAATATAATTTTCTCACGCAACAAGAAAAAAGTGGTGAGTCTCTCTTTCTCTCTCTTAGCTTCAGGCTCGCCTGGGAACCCCTGCGAGGTGAGGTGGTGAGGACGCATACTGCGTCTCTCTCTCTCTCTCTCTCTCTCTCTCTCTCTATCTCCCTCTCTCTATCTCCCTCTCTCTATTTCCCTCTCTCTCTCTCTCTCCCACTCTCTCTCTATCTCTCTCTCTCTCTCTCTCTCTCTCTCTCTCTCTCTCTCTCTCTCTCTCTCTCTTTCCTCTCTCTCTCAGCCTGAGGCTTGCATATGAACCCCTCGTACGGGACGAAGTGCAGAGGACTCATATTGCGTCTCTCTCTTTCTCTCTCTAAGCCTCTGGCTCGCATATAAACTCCTCGTGCGGGGTGAAGTGCAGAGAACGCATACTGCGTCTCTCTCTCTTTCTCTCTCTCTTAGCTTGACGTTCGCCTGTGAACCCTTGCGGGATGAGGTGGTGAGGGCGATTTTTAACGTCCCTCTTTCTCTCTCTTAACCTCAAGCTCGCCTATGAACCCCTGCGGGGTGAAGTAGTGAGGACGCATACTGCGTCTCTCTTTCTTTCTCTATTTCAGTCTTTAGATCACCTTGAACCTATCACTTCGGGAAGATGTATTGTAGACACATCACTGGTTATCTTTTTCTCTCAATATTTAATAAACATACAAAGATAACAAAGACTCTTAGTTCGTCCTTGACCCTAGCACGTTTTAACCAGATATACTATACATATACGATTTATTCTTATATTTTCTTCAGTATTGGAAAATTCTATAATTTCTTCTCTCGTTTTTTACTATGTGATGTTGTGTTATCTTTGTTTAGAGGATAAAATTCCACTGTATTTGTACTCTGTGAAGTTTTACATTCTTTATTACTATCTTCTATAATAGTAGATGTACCTGTAAGACATATAAGATAGTATTGCTATTGTGTATGTAATTTCTATAATTATCATAAAATGATTTTAACATGCATATAATATGAGTAATACATACTTTGTGAAACGATAGTTCTTATATCATTCTCCATATAGGCTACATTTTCTTCATCATTTCATGATTCATTTTCACCTACTTTTCACCTACTAATATAAATTGAAATGCTATGACATATTGATCTAAAATATAGGAAAAAATTAATATATATTAATATAAATTATTAGATAACAAAAGTATAAGTATAAAAATATATAACAATAAAATTATATATATTATAAAACAAAAGAAAAAACATGTTAAAATTGTCAAATACAGAAGTAAAATGTATAAGAATAAAAAAAATTACTGAAATTATAGTTCTAGAAGCCTCATAATTTTTTTGTAAATTATTTTTATACATACTGTCAATTTTTCTGTCCATCATATTTGATGTAAATAAAACAGGTGCAGTTGTCATCAAATGTGGTGCAATATTAGCAACATCAGGTTTGCTTCTGCTTCTTGTGGACCACCACCAGTGACCATATGTGGTTGTTTCTCTTTTGTGATTGTTTCTCTTGTTGAGCTCTCGTTGAGCTTGTTTTATATTCATCTATAGTATTTTTAATTGTTGGATGGTCCTCTAGTTTAAGAATTGGAAGTAATGCTATTATGCCATATAAGAACAAGAGAAAGTATGTATGTACAATTGTTAAGTTGAAAATTAAAACTTATAATTCTTACCTCTTAAGTATTAATGCAGATTCATTATATCTACTGCAAATATTTGTCTATGCTAGTTCTTTTCTTTTTCGGTTATAATAGTACCATCACTTTTTCTTATTTCTATGATATGTTTAAATGAATCCAATATTTGTAAAAATACTTTCCTTTCCATGGGTGTATAGTGTTTGTTCCTACTGGAATTTTTTAGGCATTGTTACATGACATCTTATAACTATATCTAAAATATATAGTGTTACTGAATAAATCAATTTTACAAACATATACTTACATACTTCGTATTTCTTATTGAAATTATTATCTTGAAAGATGTAATACAAATTATAGATGTAAAACAATACCGTATTTAGGTTATAGTTATACGATATTATACATAACGTAACTTTTCAAAGGTATGGCTAATATTGCACAAGATGATAAGTGGTTCATAAAATAACTCTATTCCTATTGAAAGATCTAACGGAAATAATACGGAAACAACCGATTCGGGAACTTAAGCTTGTCTTCGCCAAGTCGATCTCAAAACAAATAAGATTTAATTGAGCAACATCTTATTCGTGAAGATCGTCTTATTTCACGACTATGAAACCTACTAATCTTAAAACGATCTTGTTTGAATAAGATCGACTTGACCAAGATCGTCTTAAGTGCTGACTTGAGACTATGGGTCAGAGCACAGACTTCTGCATAATGCATAATACACAATGCATAAGAGAATCAATCGATCAGAGTTCTTCATTTCTGTTCTGAGGAGGGAAATGAAGAAAACTAATTGGTTTATTCTCTTATGCGTTATGTATTATGTGTTATGCAAAAGCCTGTGCTCTTGCCCTTACCCTTCGGGTGCGTTCGCTTTGGACGCTTAAGGCCATCACACACAAACGAACTTAAGCAGTAAGACGTAAGCAGTAAAGAAACTGACCAATCACAGTCAATTATTCTCGTAAGCTTTAAAATGGCGTCCTTAAATTTCGATTGTGACTGGTCCATTTATTTACTGTTTACGACTTACTGCTTAAGTTCGTTTGTGTGTGATAGCTTTTATACGCTTTAAGCCCTTATAAGCACAGAGAAACCTGAAAGCGGCCAACACAGCATTTTCTGCGACACCTACTTTCCGCATTAGGAAAGGACGCCATCTGCATCCATTTTGAGAGAGGAACTACGATGTTACATCCACTTTCAGGCAGAAAGAAGAAGGAGAGAGGTCACAGGCCGCTTTTAGCCGTGCCCAGTGCGAGGCGTCCTCTGTACAACCATGCACATGAACTACGATGCCAATGTCCACGATTCTTTTCTGATTTCCCCCACCACGCACGCACACATAGCCGGCTCAGTCTATCCGTGTGGACCACGCGCTCGGCAATCGTCAGCGCGCCGAGCGACAGAGAGATATCATTCCCTCCTTCTCGCTCTCGTGTTCGCTCAGCAACGCGAGCGAGAATATCTTTCCCTCTTTCTTGCTCTCGTTCTCGCTCAGCGACGCAAGCGAGGCTAATTTTTTCTGGGCTATAATCTGATAAGGACTGCTGCCAAACTTGGGGTCACTGATTTTGACGAGCTTTGGCAGAAATGTAGTATAGGTCCAGTAAAAGCTACTGTTAACCGGAGACGATGCAACACTCAAGCATTTAGGAGAAATTACAAATTGAAATTTTGCGATTTTAAGTATGCGCAATTATCCTAACATTTGCAAAGTTACTTCCAATTGACGATGTAACGCAGCAGACTGGGCGCGGTGCTAGTACTCGCCAGATTGCGTGTTTGCGTCTAGTTGTGTTGTTATTTCTTTTTAATTTGTCTTTTTTACTTTTACGAATAAAAATATATATGTTACAGAAGAATAGGAAGATAAATTCATTATACAAACAACCTTTTCTATGTTTTATGAAGGAGAATGGACACACAATCCAAAAAGAGGTATATATTATATATAATTAGTATTTATTGCATGCATTTTTTAATTAATACATTTGTATGTATGTTGTTTGTATGTATGTAATATATTTGTAATTATATATATAAAATGTACAGGGTGCGTACGGTATTTGAGGACACTCATATATATGAATGTAATTTCTGGGGAACAATTTTGTTTCTTTTTTTTCTTGTCAGATCACCAATGGAGGACTATAAAATAACGCAAGGAATGAAGAGATGCAGTTATCGTCGTTATATGCGCGAAACACACCGATTTAGAAATTTCGAATTTTCTCAATTGCGCCCGATCATTCGTACATAAGGTTCGTCGTGAATTAGAAGCATCGGCTGGCGATGTAGAAACTGTTGCAAAACACAAAAAACATGAGGAACGTTCGGATACTACTAGAAATACACAATTTGTCCAACAAGTGCAAGAGATCGTTGACGAAAGCCCTTCAAAGTCCATGAGGGCCATTGCAAGGGACCTGAATGTCTCTGAGAGCCTAATCTGTCGAGTTGTCCACGAAGCTCCGCTATACGTCCTACGTTATGCGCAGAGGACAGTTTATGTCGGCACAAACTCGGGAACAGAGACTTATCCGAGGAAAACGTCTTTTGAACAAGCTTAAGCACCCTGAAGTTCCTAACATGTTGTAGTTTTTTTCTGACGAAAAAAATTTCGACCAAGACCAAAAAATCAATCGGAGAAATGACAGGTGGTTATGCTCACATCCTACAGAGGTTCCCTACAGGTGTTATGCACACGAAGTTTCCAGCAACTGTCATAGTTTTAGGAGTTGTGAGCAACGAAGGACATGTTATGCCACCCCACTTCTTTCGTCAGGGGCTTCGGGTGAATGCTGCCGCCTACATCGAGGTTTTAGAAACAGTTGTGAAACCCTGGATTGATAGTGTACGTGGGGACAGACCATACATATTCCAGCAAGACTCTGCTCCTTTACACAAAGCCATGACGACACAAGATTAGATGACCGAAAATTTCTATGACCACATTACCCCAAACTTATGGCCACCTAGCTCCCCAGACCTTAATCCCCTGGATTATTACGTATGGGGCGTAGTTGAGCGGAAGACCAATAAACATCCTCATAATAATATTTCATCACTGAAGGATGCTATAACAACAACAATGATCAAAATGAATAAAGAGCATTTGATTCGGGCATGCAATCGTTTCCGACCCCGAATTGAGTCCGTTATTGCCGCTAATAGGGATTTTATTGAGTAATTGTATAGTCTAGGAGTCAATTAACGTCGTGTAAAAATTTCATGGAATTATAATAAATTTTGCAAAAAATATGAACAAATTAATTTTAATGTCAATATGTCCTCAAATACTGTACGCACCCTATATATATATATATATGTGTGTAATGTTATATAAAGACACGTAATATATAGATATTGAAGTATATAACATAATATATGAAAATATAATATATAAGAATTATAATGCGAGAATTCTCCTTCATAAAACATAGAAAAGGTTATTTATATAGTGAATTTATCTTCCTATTCTTCTGTAATATATATATTTTTATTCGTAAGAATAAACAAACATAAATAAAAAAAAATAACAAAACATAGCTAGGCGGGAACACGCAATCTGGCGAGTACCAGCACCGCGCACAGTCTACTGCCTTACGCCGTCATTTGGAAATAACTCTGCAAATGTTAGAATAACGGAGCATACTTAAAATCGCGAAATTTCAATTTATAATTTCTCCCAAATGTTTGAGTGTTGCATCGTCTCCGGTTAACAGTAACTTTTGCTAGATCTATACTACATTTCTGCCAAAGCTCATCAAAATCAGTAACCGCAGGTTTGGAAGCATCTCTTATAAGTCGCGGGCGCGACTATGACAATACTGATAAGTTTTCCTATTCAGCGCACCGAAATTATTATGAATAACATTATTTTATTATTAATAATAATATTATTTATAATAATAATGTTAATAATATTTTGCACCGAGAAAATGAAATATATTTCATTAATTGTTTTGCGGAGGCGGACAGGTTCATAGATTTGATTGTTGTTGGAAATTGTTTAATAATATTTGAAGAATAATTTCAAGTTATACAAAGATGTAGAATGAAATATAAAGTATTGTAACAGAATCAAGAAGGTACGAAATGGAACCTTCTTGTTTTCACTGAAATATTCTCTAAATTAACAAATATTCCTTAAACAGTATTAAACTCCCCAAAAACAATTATTAGGAGCGCAAAAAAGTTCTGAGCCTTTTTTTGCAAAATTCAAAATTTATTTAAAAACAAACAAAACTATATTAATCAACGAAATATTCCCCGTTTGCATCGATGACCTTTTGCCATCTTTCAGGCAGCTTGCGAATTCCCTAATGGTAGAAGCTCACCGGCTTCGAGGCGATAAAGTCATCAATGCATTTTCTTATCTCTTCAAGTCACAAAATGCATTGACACTCACAAAATGTGTATCAGCCAAGAAATGCTGCAGAGACCGGAATAGGTAGTAATCGGAAGGCGCCATGTCTGGGCTATACGTCGCGTGCGGGAGAAGTTCCCAGCCTAACACAAAGATATGGTCCTGAGTCACTTTCGCAACATGTGGTCGGGCATTGTCATGAAGCAGTATCACTTTACGACGTCCTTTGCCAGTAAATGGCCTCTCTTCTTCAAACGCATCATTCAAATTGCTCAATTGTTACTGATAGCGATCTGCCGTTACTGTTTCACCCGGCTGTAACAACTTGTAATACAATACACCTTTCCAATCCCACCATATGCAAAGCAAAACCTTCTTGGCGTGGATATTGGTCTTTGGCGTCGATGTCGAAGGTTGACCAGGGTCAACCCATGATTTTTTACGCTTTGGATTATCATAAAATATCCACTTTTCATCACCTGTAATGATTTGGTGCAGAAAATCCTTTTTCCGGAACCTTGAAAGCAAAGTGTGCCGTGTCACGCCGTCGATTTTTGTTGTCTTCGGACAGTGCATGCGGAACCCATCTGCCTTCCTTTTGAACTTTTCCCATTGCACGTGTAAACGTGTGGAAATGGCTTGTCGCGTAACGCCAAGTTGCTCTGTAAGCTCCTTTTCAGTTTGTGCAGAGTTTATATCCAACAATGCTTGCAGTTCGTCCGTTTCAATCTTTTGAGGACGTCCAGCACGCGGTTCATCTTCAAGACTGAAATCTCCTTGGCGAAATTTTTGATACCACCTTTTACACGTAGCATAACTTACAGCGTTCTCTCCATATGCAACACAGATCATTTCAGTGGCTTCAGCAGCATTTTTCTTCAGATGAAACACGAAGTGGATGGAAAATCGAATATGCTCTTTTGTTATTGCCATCGTGAACACTGCTGATTTTAAGGTTATGTGCATTAAACGCCAAATCGCACGATGTTTCGAAAGACCAAATGTCACTGCTTTAAAACCGCAAGAGGGCGGGAAAATTAATACAATTTAAATTGTGGTTTCAGTAGTATGAAATCTAGGGCTCAGAACTTTTTTGCGTATCAGCCTAATACATCCGTAGAATCTTTTATCTGCGCGAAAAGAAGATTTATAAAATATGTCTGTTTCGCCGCGCTGAATGAGAAAACCCTCAAAGCAATGTTATATTTAAAATGATGTACAATGCATTAATAAATACGTAGTCTACTGAAAAGGTAATTTATTTGCTTATCATAATATCTTCGAATGTACTCACTT